GGGGGGGGGGGGGGGCGGCGGCCAGGTGGTACGGCGTGTGAGTGGGTGTGAGGGACGAGGTGTGTTGAGTGCAGGAGCGGCTTGGCACGTGTCGAGGGTGCGTGTCACGGAGCGTGTTGCAAGGCGGAGGGCCGCTGCTGCCCCAAACCTCAAATGCTTCGTCGCGGAGTGGAACGAATCACGCGGCTGCAAGCATAACGAAGGTTTGCGGTCGCTGAGACGACCACGCTGCTGGTGAAGAAATTGTCGCGGCGCTGTTCGCCACGCAACCACAGTGCTTTGTGGCGCACCTGCAGCTTCTTCACGGTTACCGCCTGCAGGGGGTCGGCCCTGTAGGTGCCGTTGGCGAGGCCCTCATCGTACAGCGCCCGGGGCCCCTCGGTTGCGCCGCTGCTGCGGCCCGCCGAAGAGGAAACGCAACGCCCTGCAGACGTCGCCGTCCCCGCCGTCGCCGCGGCTGGCCCTGCCGCTGGGCCGCCGCAGCTGCTGTCCGCAGCCGCGGCTTGCCGCAGGGCTGCGCAGATGCCTGGAACGCCGCGCAAGCCTGCGTGCGGCATAACGTACGCGCAGGGCATCACACCCGCATCACAGTTATGAATGCAAAGTTCCGTTCCATGACCTGGGGGTCGCGGTGTCAGCGCAACCGCCGCCACGGTGGCGCGCCTGCTCGTGCTGTTGCAACCTGGTTGCAACAGCGCCTACGCACATGCCGCCCCCACTCGCGCCTGGTCATGCCCTCACCTGCCGCCATGGCACCCACAAGCGATGCATTGCCCGTCCATTGCTGGTAATAAGGCAACCAGCAGGCCGCTTGAAACTGCATGGCCCCCACGGCTCCCGGTGGCATGGTCGCAGGGGCCGAGACTTGTCGGCTCCGCCCGATCCGACTGGCTGCAGCTGGTCTAAATGTTCCAAAGAGACGTATGACGTGTGATTACGGCGACACCCTGGGGATCTCGGTCGGTCTGCAGCTGTTCAAAGCACGCTGGTGCTGCACGTCGCTGAGAACCACCCCATTGTATACAGAAGGACGCTAGATTGCGGTACATTTGTGCTGTGCACATCCAGCATCTCGCGACATCCCCTGCCGCCGCTGACACCGCCCACCCGCACCGCCATGGGCATGAGCCCAGCCTTCTTCCCTCACGCAAGTGGATTTCTTGGCTGCATGCTGCGCTTTCCTGGGGGTCTGGGATACTGCAACCCCACGCGAACATCTGCGCCATGGCAGGACTACGTGGACGCCCCAGGCATTCGCAGCCCTCACCCAACCTTGAGCCGCACCTGGCGGCACCGTGCGTTCAAACCGGATGCACCATCGGTCCCGCTTTGCTGCGTTGCCGGGCCCCTCAGCAAGGGAATGAGAAGAAGGGTGGCATGCGCCCTGGCGCCGCCTGCCCTACACAGCCGCGCTCGCGCAAAGAGCCGCACTGTGAATTGTTTTCCGAGTGTGGGGGGTGCAGGCGAACTCTTGTCTCGATACCCGTCGACACAGCCACCCCCTCCCACTGTCTTCCGTGGCCTGTGCGACGCTGGTCGACAGGGGTTGGCGACGTGCGCTGGCCGACGCGCAACGCCCCGAACAACAGCCGCACCCCTTGCTGATGCCAGCCGCACGTGGGACACAAGGCACCCTGTAGCCGGGTGGCCCCAGCCGACCAAACACCGGAATCGGCGCAGCATGGAGTGTGATGCCCGGAAGCAGCATGCAAAACAAGAAGCAGGCGCGCAGCCAGTGCCGCCGCGCACCAAAAGCACAGTGCCGCTCACGGGGAATGCAAGCAGTGCCCGGGCTGGCAGCCAGGAACGGAGAGGCTCGCGCCAGACTAACATCACACGTGTCCACTTTACAGGTGGCGCTGCAGCGCCAGAGCTGGCAGCTAGCTGGAACGCCGGAGCTGGGCGCAAATACATAAGCTAGGCAGGCATGCGCGTGCCAAACCCCCATGCAACCTGCCTGATGATCCCGCACACGTGCCACTGCATGGCAATATTCAGGGATATACTGGCTGCACAGCGTTAATCAGTGCTGCAGCTGCGGCGACTCCGCTCCCCTCACTCTGCCGCGTCGCCGCCGACGCCGCCGCCGGCGCGCCCGCCGCCGTAGCGCGCCTCCACCATGGCTGCCAGAGCCAGCAGCCCCAGCGCCTCGCCGCCCTCGGGCCGCCCCGGGCGCGCGGCCCCCGGCCCCACCCACGCGCCCGTGTCCAGGTGCAGCCAGGCGGGGCAGGAGGGCGGCACAAACTCTGACAGGAAGAGCGCGGCCACGATGGCTCCGCCCTGCGGTGGAGCAGCAGGGAGCCAGCAGGGGTATGAGAGAGAGAGAGAGAGGGAGAGAGAGAGAGTGTGTGTGTATGCGTGTGTGTGCGTGCATGCGTGCGTGCGTGTGTGCGTGTGTGCGCGCGCGCTCTCGTGTGTGTATGTGTGTGTGTGTGTGTTGAGGGGCGCAAAGGGTTTGCTGTGCATCAAGTGAGCCACTTGAGGGGGCACGCGGGGGTCCACAGCTGCTGGCTGAGAACTGGAATTCGGCCCCGGCAGCTGCTTCTTTGGGCTCGCCGGGCCCTTGCCCGCACCTGGGGCGTGTCGCCGCTGCTGACAGAGCCGATGTCGGCCACCTGTGGTTGCGGTGCGAGGTTGCATGAAGGGGAAAATAGGGGGTGGTTGCGTGAGGTTGAGCAGTGTCAGCATACGTCCAGACTGCGCATGCGAGGGTGCAATGCAACGAGTATTGATGTGCAGAGGTGCGGGGCGTTGCAGGTTGCGGTCGGGCAGGGATCGCGGCGGGTACGGAGCCCCGGCGGCCGCCAACCTTGCTGTCGAGGAGGCGACGGTAGCCCTTGTGCAGGGGCAGCCGCCAGAGGGGGTCGGACTGGTTATGAGCGCCCAGAGGGGTGCGCACGGGGTGGGGGGGGGATGCAGGTGTGAGAGGAGTTGAATCGGGCGGTCTCAGTGGCCTCGCAGCTGCTGGGTGAAGGTGCTGCCAGGCTGCCTGGATCCATGTGCTTAGCGGATGTTGCAAAATCGGTCCCCATGGACCCCTGCGCCCTCAAAACGTTGTGTGCCTCACCACACCTGCTGCAGGGAGGCGGCCTCCAGCTGCGCCCAGGCCGCGTCGTCCCGGCTGAACACCGCCGGCAGCTCCGGGCCTAGCGCCGCGCGGGCCGCGCCCTGGGGGCGGGCAGGGAGCAGGGGCGCCCGTCTGCGGGGACCGAATCAACGGGGGTCCCTGCCGCGACAAGGTTTGCGGGCCACACCAGGCGCAGTGCAGCTGCAGCCGCCCGTCAACAGACTCTCAGCGCCACCCCCTGGGCTGCTGAGGGCATCGGCCCTCAGGGCAGCCCACTACTAAGCAGGGGAATGGGAGGCCGTCCAACAAACACTGTACCGAGGCGACTCCCGAAGCAGCCTGGCGCAGGCCGCCATGCCGATTGCCGCAGGAGGACACCCCACGCCCCGTCTTCTCAATGTCATGCTTGTAAGGCTGCAACAGGCTGCACACGGTTTGAAAAGAAACCCAATTCCAGGGCCCACCGTGAGGGTGGCGGCGTCGATGATGAGGTCTGGCGCGTCAGAGGCCGCATCAGCCAGCGCGTCAGCCAGGATGAGCCGCCCCTCCGCGTCACAGTTGCCCTGGCGGGGTGTTTGTGTGTGTGTTTGTATGTGTGTGTGTGTGTGTGTGAGCGCGCGTGTGTGTGCACGCGCGCGCGTTTGTGTGTGTGTGTGTGTGTGTGTGCGTGCGCGTGTGTGTGGGTGGGGGGGTGTGAGGACGGGGAGAGGTGACGTGTTGGGTGACCATGGTGACGCCTGCACGACCAAATGGTGGGTCGCAGCCGCGGGGGCGTGCCTGATGCCTCGAGCTTGGGTGGCGCAGACGGTGCGGCCAGCCTAGTCGGACACAGGTGGGCGCGTCATCCAATCGCAACCTATAATCATCGCTTGCGCCTGCTGCAGCCCCCTACAAACAATACAGGCTTGTAGGGCACAAAACGCACGCGCGCCTCGAGCTGCACGGCCCAGTCCCCCCGCCCTCAAACCCAGGCGATCACGCCACACTCCGCCGAAGCTCCTCTCAGCACACTCTCCGGCTGTCTTGACCACCGATGCACATCCTCCTCACCGGCGAGTCAACACGCACTTCTCACCACGCACAAAAAAATTTCTTGAAAACATGCAAGGAACCCGTTCAGGAATCTGCAGACACAAGAAAGCATCACGTCAGTCAAGGGCGGCCCACCTGCTCCACCGTGATGCCCGCCCGGGACTGCAGCACGTCCAGGGGGCGGTAGGCGTCACCCGACACAGAGTTCTCCACCGCAGGCACCAGCACCCGCAGGCGCAGGGGGGCGGCGCGGCTCATGAGAACGTGGGCCAGCGCCAGCACCAGCGCCGCGCCCCCCATGTCCTGTGTGAATGCAGGGGCGAATTCGATCGGATAGGGGAGCGGCTCGGGAGGGCAGGGCCGGGCTGGTCGGGACCGTGGCGTCAAATGGGACTCTGGGGTTGGGTGATGGTGGCGCTGATTTGTTGTGGTCGCGTGGAGCCAAGCTGGCCGTTGGCAGTTCACCCAGGGGCCCTGATGGGCAGCCGTGGCCGTGAGGACGGCGGTGTGTTTCGGAGTGGGGGTGTAAGGCTTCCGCCCCTGGGCCTCACAGCCCCGCTCTCTCAAGCCAACCCTGGGTGGCCACGCCATGACAAGGGCACCCCCAAGCAAGCCACATGTCGATGGTGAGATCACGGGGCCCTGGGCAGGGGGTGACGACAGCTCCATTGCCGGAAGGACCCGCCCCGCATCCAGCCGCGGTGTCTCGATCATGAGGGGCCCCAGGGTGGGCGGGAGGGGTCCGCACCTTCTTCATG